AAAAATAAAAGTGTAAGGATATAAAATATTGACAAACAAAGTATAGATATCAAAAGAAAACGCAAGTAAAGTACATAAATTAAAAGTTACTCATTCCATTTAAAAATATAAGACATTTTTAATCGAATCTCATATTCAATAAAGTAGTTACCTACTTTTTAAGTAACTCTATCTTTATATATTTACTTTTATTAAACACCTTACAATAAATATAAAGTCATTATCAATAGGGGCACTTTTGAAAAAAATGATAATAATTGCATCTTAAAAGATTAAAAATGTTTCACATTTTTAAATATCCAACTTGTTAAAAAATGCCTTACATTTTTGAACAAAGAGAGTATATGTAGCCTATAAAAACAATGTTATATTGCTTTTTTTTGTGAAGGATAATTTTACAAATATATTATAAATATCACCTAAAAAGCAGCACCGTAATTTATAAATGAAACTAAATAAGTCTTTTAAAACGTACCTTATAAATGAAACTAAAAGAGTATTGGTTATTGAGGGGTTTGAGATAGGTTATGAGCAATGTTTTTAAAACCAGACTGGATACTAAATTAAAAAGGTCAGTAATTCATGGTTTGTATGGTTCAATCAGGTTAAATTAATGGTCAAACTGAGATATAATAATTAAATTAAAAAATTATATATGTGTATAATAATCTAAATATAAGAAACAAATATAAAATTACTACATAACCTAAAAGTATAACCAAAATTAAATTAAATTATCTAAATTAAATATATAAAATTGATGATAAACAAATTTATTAAATATTTTATAATTTTTAGTTATTAAATAAAATTTTCAAATCTAAATTGTTCAAATTTTGAATGATTCATGTCTCATTTAATCACCTTGATAAATGAGGTGAAGAGAAGTTGGGATCTACAGTTTCTTATCACCCTATCCTTTTAGTTTCTAAGTATAATTATTAATATTATTATATTAAATAAATTTGTTTTAATCATAATTATTTTAGTCCTGTGTCTCATCCCACCTCGAAAGTTGTCCCGTCCCGTTAGGAGTTGGGATGAGATCGTGACAAGATCGGGACGTCCCATCATCCCGATAAATAGAATAATATCGAAGAAAGATTTAGATAATAATATTCACTAAAATTTTAAATTATATAACTTATTAAATTTAAAATCAAAACAATACCAGTACATAAACCACAATAATTTAAAATTAATTATTGAATTATATTAATGATAATTATACATTATAATAGCAAATACAAGTGATCTTTATGCTATAAGGTAGCAACAATAGATAAGTTAAGTACAACATTAAATCATTGTTCTTTTTCTTTAGTGAAGATATACTAAGTTAATTGCCTCTTCTAAAAATAAAGCAAGAAATATGTTATAAATAAAAATTATTAAATAGATAGACATAAAAATAAATTATATTAATATAATTAATATATTATAAAGAAAGATATTGCCATGTTTATTTCATGTCATTAAAATTATCAATATAAAAAAACTTTAGTTTTAAATAAGAATTACAAGTATTGAAATTATAATTGATATAATTAATATAAATATAAATTATATTAATATAATTAATATATTTAAAATAAAAATAATATATATAATATTCGGGACGGGACGAGACGTGACGTCCGATAGTAATCCCGTGTCTTATCCGATCCCAAATTTCTTTCTTGTTTGTCTCGTAAAATTTTATCTTGATTATTTTTAAATCAAAATAAAATTTATTTTAATATAATTGAGATGATATTGAACTAATTAAGATAAATTCAAAGTGAACATCCCAAATAAATTTGATGAACGGTTTTGGTTACGAAAGCGAAGAAAAATCAATAATAATAATAACAATAATAAAATGGTGACACTCAAGCTTGAACCCACCAAAATTGGCGCCATTAACTTTCAAAATGAAGACTTTAAAGTATGTAAATGTGTCAGTGCGTGACAGACGGCAGTGGGCCCCGATATAACTGTTCATTCTGAGTGGTTACCAAGGGCAAACGATGACAGGGCATAATTGCCACGGACATTTGTCTTTAATGTTTTTTGGCGCGTGATACTCAATTCCCACCGTAAATTATTTTTATCAATTTTATTGATACTAATAAAAAAATAATAAAAATATATAAAATTTTAAATATACTGCTATATAATAAATGTAAAAAACAATGTTATATTATTTTTATTCATAAAAGATAATTTTAAAAATATATTTTAAATATTATTTAAAATATGATACTATAATTTATAAATAAAATTAAATAAGTCTTTTAAAACGTGCTTTATAAATGAAATTAGAGACAGTATTGGTTATTGAAGGGGTTGAAATGGGTTACGAGTAATATTTTTAAAATTAGATCGGATATTGAACGAGAAAGGTCAATGATTTATAGCTCGTATGGTTTAATTAAGTAGAACTAATCGTCAACAATAATTAAAATAAAAAATTATATATGTATATAATAATTTAAATATAAAAAAATATAAAATTACTATATAACTTAAAAATATAATCAAATATTTTAAATTTATCATGATTTAATAAGCCACATGATATAACATGACGTTATATGATTAAAAAAATTGGTTGAAAATATAAAAAAAAAAATTAAACAGTCTAATTTTTTAAAACTAGATCCAATTTTCGACTTAATTTTGGTTTCTGATGTGATCATCAGTTCAAAATGGCCTAACTCGACTCAACTCTCAAAATAATTTTTACATACTGACCAAGTTAAAACCTTGATTGATTGATGATCAAATCGGTCGAATTAGTCTAATTTTTAATCACTGGTTATGAGATTTAAAAAGCTTAACTATTTCCTCGGATTTATTATGAATCAACCCTATCTCACATACAATAATTTAATACCATCACTTTTTTATTTTATTTTTTTCGTGACACACTTATGTTTTAAACATGGGAATCTCTTTTAGTAAAAATATAAATTTTAGTTTGTTTTACTGTGAAAGATTAGCTTTTTTTTTTTGTTAAATTCAAATTCAATCTTAAAAAGTACTCTATCCATTTAAAAATATATAACATTTTTAACTAAATCTCACCTCCAATACAGTAGTTACTTACTTTCAAATTAATCTTATTTTTTCATATTTATCCCTATTAAACACTATACAATAAATATAAAGTCATTCATCAATATGGACATTTTTTAAAAAAGATAATGATTATATCTCGAAAGACTAAAAATGTTTTATATTTTTAAATATTCAACCTTTTAAAAAATATGTTATATTTTTGAACGGAGAAAGTATTTTGATCCAAATAGAATTTAACAATAGAAATAAAAAAAATTGTATTTAAAAGTATGTTCTCCATGACCTGAAAAATGAGTGGAATTTGTGATTTTTTTTAATTTTTTAATTTTTTAATTTTTGAAGTTCTTGTTCTTTTTTAAAAATGACATCCGTGCAAGAAAATAAATTTAAAAAAAATGAAAAAAATAATAATAAAATTTTTTTAAAATGTGTGAATGAAAATTTGGTCTTTTAAAATGTAATAATTCCTTTAAAATCTCTAGAGATTTTTCTATCTTTAATAAATTTATATAAATTATTAAATTATTTTTGTTGAAAATAAATGCTTCACAAGTTTTGTTTAAATATTCATAACTTTCTTTCTTATATTTACAATAAAACAATAACAAATCACGACTTTATATGTTAATTCCTTATTTGGTGTTGCATTACTATGAATGTAAAAAAGCATTAAAGAATAGTTCTTCTCTCTTTTTTTATTTATATTTCAGCCATGCACATATTCTTCTCGCCAGTTTGTTTTCAGTTTGACAAAAAATCATTTATTAAAAATTTAAAATAACAAAAAATTTAATATGTTAAATAATAAAAATTAAAAAATATATATTTTAATATGTGAAAAAATAAAACATAATAAAAATATTATGATTATTTATAATAATAGACAACTCAACTCACATTTATAATTTTAAATTCATTAAAAAGTTGAATTGTCAAATTTACATTTAAACTCATTTTTAAAAAGTTATTTTATTTATATATAAAAAAAATACCCAAATAACATTTAACATCTCAAATATTACAAAGTGAATTGAAATGTTAGATGTGAAAAACTCAATCGCGCCCTTCATCTCAATATCTATTCTTCTTTCATTCTTCGTACCCCTGCATCTGCTTGTGCTTCTCTGCATGGCAGCATAATTTCCGTGCTCTCCATTGCCTTTCATAGCTTGCACGACGAAGTCTCTTGAAAAAAGGTAAAATCTACTGATTTTTACCCTGTTTCTTTCTATCAGCTTGGATCGATGCATGTTAATATCGTTTTTCCTAGTTAGGGGGGAAAAAGACAATAATTGATTGGCTGTGATCCATGTTACATATCAATTATCATCCCTGATAGAAATAGAATTAGAAGAGAAAAAATCTTGTGCTCGCCAAAATTGAAAATCTCTCTCTCTCTCTGAGAGTTTGACTAAACTAACTTCCTAATCGTGCATTAAGGAGACTGATTTTGTCTTTAAATCTTATTATGCATTCTGTTTCAATTCATTGCCGAGTCATAAGGTTCTTTCCGCATCTGCTTAACTGTTCTCTCGCGTTTTTATCTCAGAATCTCTTTCCGTTGCTCTTCGTTGCTCGTTTTGTTCTTTTTCAATTTCCCAGAAAAACAGAGGAGGAGGAGACTTCTCTGTTCCACAGGATTGGAACTCTCCAAGGTCAAAAAAGTTAAAAGGGTGGGGGGCGGTAAGGGTGCATTTATCTATTTCGTTTAATTTAATTTCGTGCTTCATTTTATTTGTATATGTGACTGAGTCTTGTGATTGCTATACAAAATATGGTATTTTATTTTATTTCTTTTTTAAAATTAGTAGAAATTGTTACTTTGAGTTGTATTTGGCTGGCTATTGTTCTCAGTCCTAAAGTTCTTTGGGCTTCTGCTTAGGTCTTTGTTGAGAAATAAATGTTCTTCATCATCAAAAGGTTATATGATTCTGCAGGTGTTGTATGTTCACATTTGCTTGCGTGGCAGTTCCTTCCAGTGTTTTCTTCATCGTTGTTAGAATCTCTCACAATCTGGTGAGAAGACATTTTAATTATTTTTGTTTTTATATTTACAATTATAATTGTTTTACCTTTTTTTTATTGTGAATTGTTTGCCAATAAAACTTTTTTATTATGAATAATTGAAAAGATTTAATACAATAGGACAAATGGAATGTGTTGAAAATAAAGAACAAATAAATTATCCATCAATAATTCGAGTATCATAGAGTACTTGATTCAAAAACCCACAAAGAGAAAAGATTATTGCTCCCTCCTTTAAAAAATGTAAAACAGTTTTAACCGAATTAAAATGAGAACTTGAAGTTTTAGAGAGGTAAAGGCATTTTCAATTTCATGTTTGAAGTACAACAATGGGAACATGAAGCAAATGCTGCCATTAATACAAACACTAAAGTGAAGAAGAAAGTCTTTTTTGGTTGGTGTTCTAATTGTTGGTGGCAACATTGAAGAGCTAAGGAGTTAGCAGAGAGGACTAAGCAGATTGAAGAATTAATAGGAAGATGTAATTTCAATATAGTTGTTAGTCGAGGAAACATGTTAGACATGAGCTACCTTTCTTCACAAGATTTCATTCATTTTGAGAGTAGAGAGTCCAAGTTTGAAGACCGCATTGTTGGATAGGGATGAATAGTGAAAGATTAAATTTTTGAATCCCTATTTCCAAGTAGACCGAATGAACTCGTTTAAGTTGAGGTGAATGGAAGAATTATATTTTAATTGTGAGCTCTTGACATGCATTCTCTTCAAGAGTTTGGATTTCAGGAGCTGATATGTAGATATGCTCTCTCTACTGGTATTTACACGAACAACTTCCCAACTTGAACAATGTGCTAGCACTTTGAATCTTTGTTTGTCTTTGAATGTCAGTTTCCTTTTCTTTATAGCGTTCTGTGACTCTCAAAGTATTTTGTCGTTAAAACTTTTCTAATTGTCTCTTAATAAGTACACCCTCTCCTATACCATATATATAGATTAGGGTTTTAGTCATTCTTTAATGAGCAAATGAAAATATCAGATTAAATTTATCTCATAAATAAAATCTATAATATTATATCTAATTTAATTTTATCTTATAAATTTAAATTATAAAACTGACATGATATTCTCTGATATCATGTTAGTTATAAAATTTAATTTATCACATAAAATTAAATTTAAAACTAACACAATATAATATATATATATATATATATATTATATTTAATTTCATATATTATACACACACATGAATATATATCTATAATTATATTTTAAATTTTATATAAATATAAATATAAATATATATATATAATATATATATTATCAAATGAATATTCAAACATATATATAAAATTTATTTACCCTATATTACATTCATTGAATTAGACATATTCCAAATTCAATGAACTTAGATATTATAGCTCGAGTTGAGTTGTTCTTGTGTGCGACCCTATAGGCCCATATAAAATTGGCAATAGGCTAATTACACTTTTAGCCTACAAGTCATAAGTGGCCTCTATTAAGACATTATAACTACCTAATGCATATGGAGATCGATGATCTGATGCAACCTTTCATATAATTATACTACATCCCTTTTATCACGCAATTTTTAGATCAAGCGTCAGATATGGAATTGTCATTCTCATTTACCTGACCATTACTTTCTCAATCTCTAAGTGGATTGATATGACAATGGAAAAAACCCTTTCCATTGTATGATCATATATTTTTTCAGTTTTACTCGTTAAGGGCCTAATATCTCTCAATTGACATAAGGGAGAAATTTTATCTTAATCACTCATATTTTTCTACATGAATATCACTAAATTCAATGATAACCATTATGATCATCCAATCAAAGGTAACTTTTGATTAGATTAAAGTTTAATGGTCATCATGGAGGAGTTCATGATGATCTTAGGTCAAAGAGCTTAGTGATATGATTACATATGAGATAAGCTTATAACTTGTACTGTGTAGCTTTTTCATAGCGGGTTGATCCAACATTTTGTACTCTTTCAAGTGACTATGACTTTGATTTATATCTCTATAATTAATTAAAGTCATACTAGTCTTATTTCATTTATGATCCCTCATAGATGACTGATTAGGGACATTTAGGACAATCATTATAGTTTGTCCAAAGATACAGTTATCATAATGAATATGTAATTAATATGATAACGAAAGAGAAATTTATTAAATAACAATGTGCATAGTACAATGATTGGCTCTAAAATACAATTTTCAACAGGCATTACAAGATGATAATTGCAATAAGATTGGATTGTAGGGCATAGGCAGAGCAAGCAAAACTTCAATGGCAAAAGAAGTGGGTCATAAGCTAAAAGAATCTAAAGTATTTGACAAAGTCATATTTCTTTTCATGTCTAAGCTTCCTGATTTTAAAAAGATTCGAGGTGAACTTGCAAGAAGTTTAGATTTGGATTTAGGAGTTCCCCCCAAACCTATAATCCCAGCGGCTCCTATTTCATGGCACTTCACTTGGCCGTGGCTAGTCAGAACCCTCCTTGGGAGGCACCTTTCGAGATAAGCCCAAATGAAGTGGTACCACCATTCAAAAATCTAGTCTATTTGGTGAGAGAATCCCTCACACTTATAAATCTTACACTACTTGTGAGACTTCTTGATGTGGGACTTATGATAATGCCACCCTATCGAGAGCCAACGTCTCCGGAAGCTTTACTTCACAGCACTTCACTTGGCCTGTTTCCAGTCAGAACTCTTCATGGGTAGCTCTTTTTGTAACACTAGCCTTTCAATGAAAGCACCAATATAACAAAATGTAATAAGTACAAGCCTAAAAAGGAGAGCCTATCCTAAAATACTAGTCTATTAGGTAAGAGAGCTCCCTAAACTTGTAAATCTCATACCACTTGTGAGGCTCCATGATATAGGACTTGTGACAATGTCACCCTGTCAAGAGCTGACATCCACAGTGGTTTCACTCCATGAACTTTACTTAGCCTTTTGTTAGTCAAGACCCTCCATGGTTGGTCTTTTTCATGATAGGGGCCTTTTAATGAAATCACCAACGTAACAAGCACAAGCCCAAAGGGAGAGCTCGTTTCAAAAGACTAGCTTGTTAGGTGAAAGAGTTTTTTGAACTTATAAACCCTACACCACTTGTGAGACTCCTCGATGTAGGACTTATGACACTATTCAAAGTTTATTGCAGTTGAAAGAACATAAAATTAAAAGGTGCAATGCGCTGGAATACTTCATAATAGATCAGAGTTCAGATGGGGAAATAGTCAACGATAGTCAAAAGAGTTATGAATCAATATTGCCCCCAAAACTAGAGACTTAAAATTTGAAGGATGTGACAAATTGGAAATAATGTTGCCAGTCTTTTTTCCTGGAGGTCTTCTCTCTTTGGAACAGATAGAAATATGTGACTGCCGGCAGCTAGAATACATAGAGGGGGATCATGTTACGCTTTCCACACTACAAATGGAACTTTTTAGACCACCAAGCTAAGTTTGATTGGTATTTATAGAGAATACCATAAACCCACTTCTTCACCTATGCAGAAGCCATCATCTCCACTTTTAAGAGATATATAATTCGAAAGAGATACTTCAGAGCCATGGCAGAACACGTGCTTCTTCTTGGGCTCAAATCTGGTTTTTTTTTTTTAGATAAATTAAGGCCCACTGGTCATGAAGAGACCGATATCGCTGTTTCTAAGGAGAGAATGCGTGACCATACGATATCTAAATTGTACTGATACCTTTTTCTTACTGTGTCTTAATTTGCAATAACAAAAATTTATATATGCATCGTGTTGAAAACTATTCGTTCTAGGGTAAAATGAAAGGAGTAAAAGCTTAATAAGTGCTATTTTCCTAGATTTCATGTCTATATCTATAAGCATTGATTTTTTTTTATAGAAAAAACTGTCTCAAACCTAGCTTTGTGCCAAAAAACTACCATTATATGGTGGATATTGATTGATTGTTATCAATATATTTCGTTAATATAGCAAATTGTTGTGTGGTTAAATCTTTTAATAACAATTTTGATACGTCGGGATTGCTTGCATCAAAGAAGTGGATTGTTGCTACTGATATCCTTTGTATAGAACAACTTAGCTTTCATTATGTAAAGAAGATTGAATTTGCACATCTCTCTTTAAATTTGGTATCATGGTTCTCTTTATCCGTGACCTCAATGATATTATCATGGGAAGAACTGACAATCAGAGAATGTGATGGATTGAAGCAAATAACATGGGAGGGAATAATGATGGTGATCAAAGCTCCATGTTCCCAAAGTTAGAGAAGCTGGAAATCGAGTCCTGCAAGAACTTGGAATTTTTGTTTCCATCTACAATATCATCTGGACCAATTAACTATATTGATGGGAACTATGATAATGAGGATCATTTACAATATCAGAATCGAAATGTTTTTTATCTTCCTTCTTTGGAGGTCCTCTGCCTTCAAGATGTACCAAAATTCATCAGCATTTGTCCCATGAATTACAAACTGACGTCACCATCTCAGCATGCAAATACAATCAAGGTAACCCTTTAACTTAATATTATTGTCTTTTCTATTTTTACTAAGGTTGAAACCTTATGGAATGGGGAAATATAACAGAAATTACTAACTTCAAGATTGTTGTTATTGATTTTCATACCATTTTTTAATATATTGATTAGGAGAAATATGTTTTGATACATACTTCTAAGAGAAATATGTAATAATAATAGGACGCTTCATGTCAATAATTTTATTTTATATGTACTGTTCTATTTATTATTATAGTTCACGGAGTAAATCATTTCATGTAACTTTATTAGACTTTCTATTATAACATGGTGACATAAAAACAATTTATGCTCCAATTTTTTTTTTTTTTTTCGAAAGAGTCATAAAGACATTAAAAGAAAAGAGAAATTAATGCAGCAATTAAATTAAATTAAGGCTAAAGTATACTTTTAGTCCTCTATCTTTATAGAAGGTTTCAATTTAATCCTTTAATTTTGTAAAGTGTTTTTTTTTAATTTTTAACCTTAATATTATTATTTTTAAATAATTATTTTTTGTGTCAATCATTATTGTTCTGAAAAAATTAAACTTAATATGTCAAAATTGGAGAATGTTTTGTTAATATTTGAAAATTCAATGCAAAAATGTTAGAATAAAACTAACAATATTAGGGTTAAAAGACTAAAAAGATATTTTATAAAATTAAGGGATTAAAATGAAATGTTGTGTAAAGTTAAAGGACTAAATATGACTAAAAGAATGTGCATATATGAAATGACTTTTAAAATGCTAACCCAGAGCGAAAACTAAATTATTTATTTTGAATTTATCTAGTTAATTAATACTAAATTTATTTTCTCTTCATATCATTGTCGTCTATAGAAGTCCAATGTAGCAGATGACGGGCTTGCTCAAGCTCACATTTTCCCAAGATTAGAGAAGCTAGAAATCGATGGTTGCAAGGAGTTGAAGTTCTTATTTCCATCCTCAATATCTGCAGGGCTTAACAATTTAAAGTCTTTGACTATCAAGTATGCTCCTATGCTAAGACATTTTCTTGGAGCATACCAGCATGATTTGGCGGTTCAAAATCTATGCCTTACAGATATGCCAAAGTTTATCTATAAGACAATAAATCAATACCTGGCACCTCTATCTCTGCGAGAAGTTGTTTTGGCTGATTGTGGAATCAAATCATTCACAATTTGATCGTTTTCTCCGGTGAAGATCATCAACTGAATGGGAAAATTACAAAGGTAAACACTCTTTTAGTTTATTATATATCGGTAACTTGTTTTGTTCTGGTCCTGTTACTCTTAGATTAATTGTTTTGTTGACAATAGAATCCTATAGGCCAATAAAAATTTCTTCGTTTATAATTGTTGCGTATTGATGCTTATATATACGATCTAAGGCTTAAAATAAGGATATTTTTTAATTCATGATGAAGATAAATCATTAATTACATTGATTTATGTGTTAAGCATTTTTGGAAAAAAATGTTAAGCGTTGATATTATTTTACACACACACACACTCTCTTAAAATGTGCTAACAGTTTACTTAAATCGTCCATTTTATTATGTGTAATGACTCAAGAATTTAGAATCTTTTTAATATACAATAACTATTTGTTTAAAAAAGGAATAATTAGACCTCTCATTTATTATTGGCAAAAAACACAATTTTACTGTAGCAGCAAACGTTGGTGTGAACCTAAAAATAAATTAAAATAAAATAACTAATTGTTCTTGTAAATATTTTGACTTCAACGTTATTAAGATGTATAGGAAAATAATTTTTACACACACATAATGAATAAATACATTAGTAGTCAAGTGGAGTTCAGTGCTTATCTCTATTTGGTGTTCGATTTTCTTATGTGCTATTAAGGGAAATTTTATTTCTATTCTTAATTCTATTTCTATTCATAATATTATGATTGTGAAGTTACCAAAAACCACATTTTGTTTTATGTTTTACCACGGAAAGTTAAGTCCTTTCCCAACCAAACCCTTACTTCATATTTTTTCTTGGAGCAGCCTCAAAGTGGAGGAGAAATTTTTGGAAGCTTTTCATTGTGCCCTATTTTTTCCTCGACTCAACATTGTTCTTCTCCTTTCCTGTTGCAGACGTCTATGTTTGTGCGTGGCATGGGTTGAGCGATTCCATTTTCTCTTCTATCTATCTTTCTTTAACTTGGGTTGGTGCTAGTGGCCTCAACCCTTCATTCTCCACTTTCCATGTTAGTGGGTGTATGTGCAAGCTTTCATTTTCTGTTAATGTGGGTCAACTTGTGGTGTTAAGAATCAGGTGTTGAAGGAAGAAAAACTTAGAAGTTGTAAGAAGTAAAATTTAGACTTTGTTTTTTTTTTTTTACTGAAGTATCACAAGTGTTGAATATTTTGTTAACTAAATTATCCGAGGTCATAAGGTCATAGTTTTTATGGCAAAGAACATAGAAATTTTTGTGTGTGCAATTTTTCTCACGCAATATATCTCTCACATTGGCAAAAAAAAAAAAAAAATTTTTACAAGTTCCAGCAACTCTACTTGATGAAGGCAAGCATGGGAATTGGCAAAGAATTTTATAAGATATTTGCGATGGATTTGTAAATTGAGAAGGATTGATGAGTCAAATGATTAATGCAAGTTTGATTTTGAGAATAGATGACCATATTTCAATAACAAATATTTTCTTACATATTTGAAAATTGATTTTGAAGGGAGTATCTATAGAATGTAACACTAGTTGTTAATGACAGTTATATTAGCTTTTGACATGCCATGATAAAAACTTAACTAGCTAGCTAATTTGATTTTCATGAGTACTGTTCTCACATTTGTTATTTATGGAGTCTCATACCTAAGTTTGATTTTGTGGCTTGGAGTCGCATATGAGTTATTTACCCTCATAGACTATCTATCTACATTTGTTTTCATAGCTTATGCTACTTTCGGTTATTTATTCTTGTGAACTGTGTGTCTACGTTTGTGTTTATAGCTTCAAGCTGCGTTTAATTGGTTACTTATTTTATGGACAGTGTTCACGTTTGTTATTTATTCTATTGATAAAACATAATTTTCTTTAATTCATTTATGATATAAAATTTCATTTTATTTATATTGACAAGGTTACTTCAACTTTCATTTTATTAGTCTAATTATTCATGGTCTAAGTCTTGATTTTATATTTGCAGTTGTGCAAATTGGAATTGTATAATGATGGACATATATTGTTTTTGTTCATATGGCCAAAATGTCCCAGATATTTTATGGCCTTGAAACCAGGTGTTTATATTATACTAAATTACTTCTTTAAAATAGTTACATGTTTCCTTTATCGTGTCTTTTCTTATTATTTAATTTTTATAATTAGAATATTATTCATTGAAAAATATTTTTGAACTTAGATACCCTAGCTATCCTTGTCCACTAGCTGAGGTCAGTGAGGGGTTTCATTTTTTTTTTTCCAGGTTGTGACAGTGTGTGGGGAACCCAATTTTTGCTTATTGCATAAGTAATGACATGTTTTTCTTCTTCAAAATCTCAAACATTTTTTTTTTAATCTTTCTTTTCTGTAATAAAGTTACCATCAGACCACATTTGAAGAAAGTTGAATGCATGTTTGTAGGAAATACAACCATCCAGAGATGGACTTCTTCCTCTTGATAATCACGTGGCTCAGAGCCTTTCGATCCAAGCATTGGTCAATGTTAGGGAAATAAAACCGTGAAATGTTGGGAGTTAACATCATTGTCCACTCTATCCATTGCCTCAACGATTTTGTGGGAAAAATTGACAATCCAAGAATGTCATAAACTCAAGTGCATTGTAGAAGATAAGCAAGGTGATGATGCTCACTTATTTTGCCGCTCCATCTTCCCAAAACTACAGCGACTAGAGATATCAAAATGTGAAGAATTTGTCAAGATCGTTGAAGAGCAAAATGATGAAAGTGCTGGAGATCATTTGCGTCATCAACCATCCTTCCCAGAGTTACAAAATCTATCTATTATTGGCTGTCGTAGAATGGAGTATTTGTTCTCTATCACAGTGTCTAGTATCCTCCCAAAACTACAGAGATTAGACATAGAAGAAGCATCTGCCCTCGAGCACGTACTGATCAGAGAAGATGAACCGAAAGAAATGGCAATGAAGGACGTGCTTCCTCAGCTAATGTATATAAGACTCCAGAAACTTCCAAGACTAAATAGCGTCTGCCATGGGATTGATTTTCAAACATTGGAAGAATCTTCTCAAGTGGATGATTGTCCCAATTTTTCTTTTCATGGTATGCATTCAAACATTAAAATCGAAAATTATTATTCTGTGAATTTTGAAATAATTAACATCGAAAATCTTACTTGCAGAAACTACTGCTAATCACCTTCAAGGAACACAGGAAAAGCTTACTTCACATCTAATAAATACAAATCCATCAGACACGGGAAAAGCCAAAGGGACGCCACACTCGACAAGGGTATATTTTCCATTTCACTCTATCTTATATGTTGATTTTTTTTTTTTAAAATCTAGAAGTTGGAAGAAAACATTTGATTTCTGATGATATTCTACTAATGCTTCAAAAATATGATTATATCTTCAAGCTTGTAATAGATATCATTCTCCAGTACACGAAGATCTTTCTCTGTTTTAAAATTATCTTCCGAGACAGTATTATTCAAATAATAGTAGCACAAACATTCAATTCGATCGATTATTTAAAAAACCAACACACACACACACATGATAGAGTGAAATGGGAGATATAATATATAAAGCACTTCCAACATGACTATACTTTTTTATTTCTTATATATAAAGTTCTCTTGGTCAATGAAACCCATAATGACTATAATTTTTTACTCTGGTTGGTTTGGGCACTATGGAAACAACAAAGGAAATTGTTGAAGTGGATGTTATTTCCGAGAATTCAAAAATGCCAAGTTTATCATCTGATTCAAATGCAGGCATAGATCAATTGGTATGTATTTGCTAACCTCATCTCTTTTAGAATTTCTTTTACATTTATTGAGATGTTGGTTGTAGTACATAAATCATGAAGAGAAATTGTTTAGATCAAATTTTAATAGTTCAAATCTATTTATATTTTTTTATGTAAAATTATGATAATAATTTTGTCAAATATTAAATCAGAACCATTGAAAGCTTTGATGATTCAATTGTGATGAAAGTAAAAGAAGGGAAATGAAAAGTATGAGAGAATGAGAGGCCCCTCTCCCGTCACACACACGATCAATGTACATTTCTCATCTCACTTACACACAGTACGTACATAGGTGTCACAGACACAGACACGAACTCACACTGAGACAAGTGGCATGGAAAAATGATAATTATCACAAAGTATCGAATTAATGTCAACTGGGTTCTCAATAATTTTTTTTTTTGGAAAATAAGTTGGAAGTATCTATTTATAGAATTGTAAATTCAAGATTTTAATTATAAATAAGGTATTTAAATTTCTCAATATTTTTCTTATCTTTGTTTCTTAAAAAAATTGGTTTGTGAATGTATTTATTTACTTGTGGATTCAAAATAACTAGAAACTTTTTCCCTTTTGTTCTTTTGTTGTTTAGGGTACTAAAGATCAAGTAGGGTATGCAGCTATTCTAGAAGATCCTAATACAAAAAAGATTGAAAAAAATGAATTCGAAGGTTCAGAATTAGGAAAAACAACGCCAGCCACACCTGTTGTTACTATTGTAACATATTTGTTGTTTCTAATATAATGTATGTATAGCTTGATGGTAGATGACTTAATTAAACTTGCAACTTCTTATTCATCTTCAAATAGGATGAGTTGGTTTGCAAAGATGTGAAAAAGGAAGCAGATACAATGGATCCTCATTCAGTCTCTGGGGAAACTGAACCTGACATGAAATCAAATGAATCAAGAAATGTTAACAATCTATTGAAGATTAAATTTCTAACGCATTGTTTTCACATAAAAATCAAAACTTAATTAATATATTTGGTGTGTGCAGATTGTTGAAAAAAAAGCGGAAGAAGGTGCTTCATTAGAGAACTTGAAGCCGAACTCATTAAATTCTAAAGAGGTGGGCTTCGTGCAACCAGTTAAGCATTTAATGTATTTTCTATTGTGATAATAATGATAATGATGAGTTGTCTATGTTTTAAGGCACCTATTCCTACTGGAGGTAGCACAATGAGTACGACATTAAAATTTTTTGAAGAAGAACTAGAGGAAGAGGGAGGTAATGTCTGCTAAGTGTCTTTATTTCAAAGTTCATATCTCATTTGATTACTTATTTTGGGCTTTACAGGTGGCTTAAGAACAAGTAGAAGACACGTGAATTCTTCAATGGGAAAAGAGCATGAGACTTCAATTCATGGTACCTATTGCTTTCTTTAAATGAATTCTTTCAACCTTTTAATTGCTAATCATGTTTTTATGTATTTTGTTATAGGTGACCCTTGTATGCCTCCTGCACCAATTGTTTCAAATGATCAAACTTCTATGTCACTCTTGCCATTGAGTCCTGTATCATCAATAGCTCCAACAAGTCTCCAACGAACCCCTTCATCAACTCCCTCAAAGTCTACTCTTGGCAAGTTTCTTTACTATCTAATTTTAACAACATTTCCTTCCTTTTCTCAACTAAATTTGAATGGATTTGATATTCAATCTTCACTTCATTTAGGGATCCAAGACAGTGTTGAAACCAGTAACCAACTTCCGCATGAAGCTATGGACACTACTATTCAAGTTTCTAGTAAGTCTTATGCCCTTAGCAATTTTGCTTTAAAATATAGTTGACTTGATTACTCCATATCATCTGAGATCTTTTGCCTTTGTGAGGTTGCTTTTATTATATTTTTATTTCCTAATCTAATTTTTTTTAGGTGAACTTGTCGAACATGAAGAGCCAGCCACGTTGCCTTCCTTTCGTAAGAGCAATAATGCTCAAGACTAACCCAAATTTACATCTTCCTAATGATCGAAGCACTCAAATGTTGTGCGTCTCCTAGAGTGTTGTTGAATATCTTAAACATTTTGGCAACTAAGACTCCCTTCACGATAACTGAGGATGACAAAAAATCATTGTTTGAAAATTTAAATGATGCTTCCATTCTCGGTTTTGACAAGGATTGGCTTGAGTCAATCAAGACCAAGGTTTTCGATTGTTATGCATCTGAAGTTCATCACATCCAAGAAGTTCTAAAGAGCTTGGGAAATAAGCTTGAGACCAAAGCGACAGAACTTGCAATTGTTTGTGATCAAGAAGGCTGCAAGGAAAGTAAAGGTGGCTCAGAAAGAGTTTGAGATCAATGTTCTGAAACAATTGCCGCCAGGTTTATGTATTTTTAGCTTTTGATACGTATGGATATCACGTACACGTCGTAATTTCTTCAATTGTATGCGCATTATTGTCTATTTTGTTTTGAGAATAATATTGTTATAGACTCTATAACCTATGAAGGAATTGTTGAACCTACGCCATCACGTATTACTAGGCCCCAACGCTTCCCTAGCCAGCAAGTTAGAGAGACATGGGAACACAAGGGCCATGGTTCGTAACAATTGGACCGTGTACATTACTCATGGGTAAGGGTTGCATTTGTAGTTCTAAAGGTATTTTATATATTTTGACACATAAAAATTGAATCCTATGGAAAGGAAAACTAGATTTAGTTGATTGAAGTGAGGTTAGAACTCACGATAAAGTACGTGTTTGATTCTATCGTTTTGATTAAAGCAGGTTATGGTGGTTGATGTGAAACTAAATATTCTATAAGGGCCGATGACTATTTTTATTGATGTAATTTAAAATCTCTTGTTTGGTGAAGTATAACATTTTACTTTAGCCCAATGAACCTCTATGGTTACAGAGAGCATGAACTTCTATATGTTCGTTTATTATCAAGTCTCTTTGGAAATTGGTTTCTTTTTATATTTACAGATATGCACTATTTTTGCTTTCAAATGTCCATCTTCTCACCTAATGCATATATCATATTTTCTGAATGTTAAGGGGGGCAAAAACTTCGTCAATCCGGACACCTAGGTTTATTCATTCATGTTGTCATCTTACATTCCAAAGCAACGAATGTGGCACTCCTTGCATAGTGATGCATGCACGGTGTCACTTACTCAGCAAATACAAGACAGAAATGGATGAAATATTCTAGCTCAAGTCATTATTCAAATCAAAGTTCAGTATGGGGGAAATTAAAAGTTCAGAAAGAAAATAGAGGGAAGGGAAAATTCAGAGAGAAAGAAGAAGCAACAGAAACGAGAAGCACAATCACAAATTGCACACCCGTAGCTTCGCCCACAGAGGCCAATGTTTGAGGTAAGGCCATTGAGGTCACAGCCCTAGGCCTCAAAATAAAAAGCTTACTTATACTCTATATAACAGGTCATTAATTTTTCTATTAAATAATAATGTTAATTATATATTTTTGTTAAGAATTTAATGCTTGCTTATAACCTATATAATCAATTATTATTTTTTCCTTTAAGCATTAATGTTAACTGCATCTTTCTATTAAAAATTTATTGCCCCAATTTCATTACACCTATAAATCTCATTCTTCAATATCAATTAACCGTTTTCTAAATTGAGAGGTTATATTATTCACATACTGTCAATCTACCACAATAGACAATAAGATGGAGGGAACCATTTTGTTGTAATCTAACAATTCTCATCTCTTTCAATGTGATCGCTGTCGCAACTGTACGAGATCACAGTAATAAATTACTGGAGTATTTCAGGTGTCGAACCCACAGAAAAGTTATGCTTTTACTAATTTAATTAATCAATAATTCAAGAAAAATAGATAAAATGGATAATTTTGATGAAAATAGAAAGAATAAAATTAAATAAAGAAAATAATGATGACGAAAACATAATCACTTGAAGCGCTGGGATTTAGAATTCACCCTATAGGTTGCTAGCTTTTACCCTTTGAATTGACTCTAATCAATTATAGTGACAACTATTCCTAAAGTATTCTAGTATCCTCCTAAATTATAAGTCCCTTTTTAATTAGCGTTGAATTCGTTCCCACGATATCCAAGTAACTAATTAAACCGTAAAGTTATAACTTAAGTCACCATAAATTTTTAGAACTATCAACCTAGTTATTTCTGTTTAGTTCTCTATATTTAGGTTCTCTCTTCACCTCCCAGTCCATCAAGATTACCCATAGATTTGATTAAATGGTGGCTAGTCATTAAATCAATATGAAAACAAGAGAAATAAATATAATTGGAAAAAGCAAAAATACCCATAAATAAAATACAAAGAGTCAAAATAAAGGAAATAAAAAACTAGCTCTCTATTGGGCTACATCCTATCCCAACTGAGTAATTTAAAAACACATAATAAAATCAAATAACATCATTCTAAAATCCCCAATCATGAAAAATGATCACAGAAAAAATTAATGAGTAGAAAAGAAATAATTATAATTTATGAAACTCCTCAATGATCTTGCTTTCAGCCTTCAGAATGCTTCTCTGAGCTCCAAATATCTCAAAGAGAATTTTGAAGTACTCAGATAAGTGATTGGATGCCTTTGTTCTTGATGGAGAGAGTATTTATAGTTAAAGTGGAGGCTCCTTCTTTTTTTCCTTATCAATGTGGGACTCTATATATATATATATATATATATCTTTTTTCTTTCTTTCCTTCTATTTAGTTTATTCTTTTTCTCTACAAAATATAAAGATAAAATGATATAGATAAAAAGATATGAGTGGATTTTGTATTAAAATTCTTTTTATCTTATAATTAAGTGATGAGGGAAAATATATAAATATCAATTAAATAGATATGAAATCTTAATAAATATAATCAAATTCAAACTAAAATCTATACCTATTAATTATAAAATATGCACTTATCAAATTCCCCCACACTTAGCTTGTTGCTTGTCCTTAAGCAAATACTTCTACATTTAGCCCTATTCCTTAAATAAGTATATCAAATACAGAACTTTACTCAAAGTACTAGTAAAACTTAACTGTATAACTAACTACAGAGCTTCAATGTGAGAGAGAAAGCTAATAATTATACTAGTACCACCACAAGGAGTGAATATTTTGATTGACCACTTATCGGTAAAATAAATTTGTCTATACCCTTAGGCCTTACCTGTTTCTTTTTCTGAGTTAGTGCAATGGGGTCACCATCCTTAACTATTCAAGAATTTCCTTTCTTCTTAAATACTCTTTAGGTCCTTTTGACACGAACCCTCATATTAGTAATACAAAGGCTCGGTTACTCAGACTTCAAGAACTTTATTGGCACACTCTTGATACTTACTAAGCTGTTTGATGCAAAGGCCAACATTGGTGATGAAAGTCCCCGGTTACTAGGCCTAGTTGGTATCAATGGAGTACGTACTCATCAATTTTTTTTCTCTCTATTTTTTGTAAGATCATTCCCTTTTTAACTACTTTGCAAGGTGTTAGCTTTCTAGGCATAGAAATAAATAATTAGGAAAAATAATTCATGCATTAAGTATATTTTTGATAAACTCCTATGGGGTAAAATAACTTTAAATTCTTTTTAAAACACATATTTTCCCTTAGTAGTTATATAGCTAAATAAAATAGTACAAAAGAGCAAAAGGTTTCAAAAAAAATTCAAAAATTTTTAAAATTTTCAAAATTAGGGTCAATTGCAGCATGTAAATTGCTAAGGAAATTATAACAGCATAAGCAATAGAAAATTATCATGATATTCCCTCCCCCACACTTAAATTTCACATTGTCCTCAATGTTTGTAGAAAAGAAAAAAGATAAAAGGAACAGAAGCTCCCCTGATTTAATTTGTTTTGGTGTGACTTTGATAACCGTTTAAGAAGCTCCCTTTTAAGTATTGTAATCCTGCAATTCATCTTAGTGAGGGTCTTAGTGATCAAATAAAATTTTATGGGGATAACAAACAGTAAAAAGAAATTAAAACAAATTAAAATAACAAAGAAAAGGAAATAAAAACAAAATTGAGTTGCCTCCCAACAAGCGCTACATTTAATGTCTTATAGCTAGACATTGCTATAAAAATCAAGAGATGCCTTCCGAGTATGGTAGAAATCCTTGTCCTCTTAAATCAAAAGACACCTTCTTATTCCAACTAATATTCATCTTTCCTTTGGAGAGGGTTCTTGTTAATGAGCAAGGAACTTTCCAATTTGATTTCAATATACGAGTGCTAGAGCTTTTGTGAGGACTAGTGAGTAGATCTTTAGGTTGCCTTTGTGGCTCCCTCCCTTCTCTATTGCTAATTTCCTCCTCTTTATTTTCTAAAGTATGTAAGGGAGGGTCTTTTCGGTGTTTTTCCTCTTCCTGTGTCACCTGTATGCTGCATAAAGATTTTTCAAGAATAGGGAGGTTAGTAGCTTTAGTAAATTTAAATATCTCTTTTTCCTCGCCTACTTTGAATATTAATTCTCCCTTAGGCAATTAATTAAGGCACCTCTAGTGGCTAAAAATGATCTTCCTAATATAAGTGAGACATTCCAATTATCTTTAATGTCTAAAATAATAAAATCTGCAAGAATATAAAGTTTATCGACTTTTACTATGACATCCTTAACTACACCATATGGATATTTGAATGATCTATCTGTGGGTTGAAGAGTCACACTGATTAGCTTGATATCTATTATACCAAGTTTCTTGCATAGAGAATAAGGCATTAAGTTAACACTGGCACCTAAATCACATAAACAATTTTCAATAATATTACAACTAATATTACAAGGAATAGTAAAACTCCTTGGATCTATCAATTTGGATGGTAGCTTTTTTTGTAGAATCGTACTACACTCCTTTGTAAGTGTAATCATGGCATATTCTTCTAACTTTTTCTTGTTTGAAACCAGCTCCTTAATGTATTTGGTATAAATAGGCATCTTTGCCAATGCCTCTATAAAGGGAATATTAATTTGAATTTTCTTGAACATCTCAAAATTTTTGGAAGCCTAAATTTGGATCCTTTTTTAGAAGGCGCTCAGGGCATGGAATGGGGGGCATATAAGGTTTGGCTTTAGAGGAGAATGCCCACTTTTAACTCCACTATCGACCTCTTGGGATTCCTTACCATTATGTATGGTGACTGCCATAACTTGCTCTCGTGGATTGACTTAGGTATTGCTTGAAAGTTTATTTTGACACTTTCTAGTAACTAAGCTAGCCAAATTGCTTATTTGAGTTTCCATATTCCTCAAAGAATTACCCATTTGAGATTCTATATTCTTCATAAAAGTTTGAGTTGAAGTAACTGTTTGTTTTAGTTGGTCAATCTCTTAATTAATGCTCTTCATGCTATTCACTTGGTAAGTCACCATTTGAGCCAAAGCTTCCTCTAACTTCATTGTACGATCTTCAATTGTGTTTCTTTGTTATTGAAAGCCTGGATGTGCTTATAGCCCCTGAGTAGAGAAATTCTTCCAAGAGAAATTTGGATGATTTCTCCATCCA